TAGACCTATAAAAATGGCATACGAGGCAGGGGGGATTTCTCATGAGAAAGTGTAGCCTCGATATATTCAGAAGCCTAAAGATGTTGCAGATCACTAACGAGCCTGCCTTTACATGGGAGAGCCCAATTATTTGCAATCCCTTGCATTATTTTTCGTTTAAGCTGTTACATACGTGCACAAAACACCTGTGTGCTCTTAATACGTGCGCAGAAGTTTACAGCTGCATCTCTAACGCCTTCATTTAGTCTGCAAATAGAGAGACTGAAATCTATGCCTTTCATCTGCATTTGGAACTCGGAAAGTTTAACTCCACTCTGCTTATTAACGCGTTTAGTCTTTGAGTGTACTTCTTTATCGTAAAACCGACAGAAATAAATTTTAAATTATAAGGCAAGCTACAAATCTCTTTTCCCTTCATTAACAAATCAGTCTGGAAATTCAGCACTGTAATTCACCTTATGGTGCAGTGACTTTGCAGAGTTTTGGATTTACTTGTGTACCTAAGCTTTACCTGCTGACACAGACTTGAACAGGACTGTTGGGAACCCACTGCTCCTCGTAATTGAGATGTGAATCACATAAACTAGGTCTCCTTCCTAGAAATGCTCATTGCATTGCTGAACTGAGGGGAAGAAATCTGGACAGCATCAATAACTGGAGAACTGAGAGGGAAGGATTTATGTAATTGAATAAAACATGCTGTGGAGAACCTAAAATAATGACGAAGGTGGTTTCCGTAACATACCCCGAAGATTTTTTATGAACTTAAAGCTTCTCTGCACGTCACCCTTTTTTTATTATTATTATTATTATTATTTAATAGTTTATTTCCATATTCAAACACAAGGGAACACTGCTTAGGGGTAATCAGCCAGAAGTTTATAAACAAATCAAGGCTAAAAACTGAAAAATAAGCTCTGTGATTATTTCAATATTTAGCTTAGCAAATCATCTCAGGCAATCAGCGTTCGTTTAAAGTAACTACAGACAAAAAGGTTAAATCTATTCTCTGTATTTAATTGGCATCTGCAACTAAAATTCAAATTCAAAGCCTTTTTTAGCCCCGACAGAGTAAACCATAAACTCTGCAGCACTCGTGCAAACTGAGAAACTCCATCTCAGTAGTTTCCTCAAGTATCCAAAAATCCTGCAGCTTCTATGCATTTCACAGCCGGACGTTTTATGTATGCCAGCCTTGCTCTGTGTTCCAGAAAACACTACCGAGCTGAGTAATGGGCAGCAGAATTACAGATAAGCAGTGCAGGGAAAGAAGACACGTTACGAGATTTCCTTTTCCAGTCTCCCAGCCTGGGTCCAGGCTGTGCCCACGGCATGCTCCCGTTCCCCCGGGAAATCGCTGCGACCGCTGGCGCTAACTTCGGCGGAAAGAGGGCAGACCTCTGGCACGGCCTGATCTCAAGTACAGGTTGAGCGATTAAGCAAAGCCTCCCAGGAGACGCTGTCGTAAATCCTACTGCCTAAGGAAGCCAAAAGTGGAGTCAACACCTTGTCCAAAGCAAAAATGAAACAAAACAGAAAAGTATTATAAACTCTTCCGTGTTGAATATTTAACTCGTAATCAGCTGTTCGCTCAACCGTTCCGTCATCAAATGTGCACATACAATTCTCCTTGGAGACACTGAGATCCCAGTACGGCTTAAAAAAAAAAAAATCTACTTCTTTTGGTTGTTGTCATTCTTAATCAGCGATATCTATAAAATTATTCGTCCGAGCTACTAGTGGGAATAGAACGCTTTAGATCAGCTAAATCAATCAGGCCTGTGCAGTTGGGAAAGGGAGACAAGCAATTTTTGAAGAATCAATTTATTGGCTATTAAAGACACGCTTAAAATTATCTGCATCACAGAATACTGTCCCCCATTTATCTATTTCTATTCTGTGGAATATCACCAGACTTCTGGTTTCGTCTGGGTTATGGACTCCATTAATTCCATCCATTAAGTCATTCCAAAGAGACCCAATGATCCGGCAGCCCCAAAGATTAGGGGATTAAAGTGGTATCTCAAATAATCTGAAAATTGAGACAGAGGTCAGAGGTACACTGATAAAACATCAAGCCAATACTTTAGAATAAATCGTATGTTAGGGGATCCTACTCTCAAGTAACCAAGTGCCAGAAAACTCACTTTGACGACTCTGAGGTATCCTAAGGGATGTCTGTAATAAGTGACTTTCCGATCTAACAGCCAATTTTTGTAAGCCTCTCTTATGGGTAAAAACGCGTGCCCTCTTTTCAGACATAATTACTGAATATTTCACATCTTTGTAAATGCAACATTTCATATTTGCTACAATTTCCTAGTAGTGCATGAACTCACATTAGCAGATCTGAAAACTAATGGATGTAACGGCTGTTGTGTTACTGTATTTAGTTTTTTTGGTAAACTCATTAATTTACCAGACCATTATGGAAGATTTGCATCCAGTAGTTCCCATTAATGAAAGTGCAGAGTTTGGGGTTTTAACAGTAGTTTTTACAACATATTTTAGCTGTGTCTAAAGCTAATGTCTGTCCAGTTGCAGGCTAATGGATCAGGTTTCTATCTTACCAAGCACTTAATGATTCACTAAAGCATTCCAAAATTCCACCCCAGGACAGACAGACAGACGGATGGATGTCTGTATTTCCTACCATCACCCTCTTTGGAAGCTGTGAACCAGTGGGGCTCCGTATGCAGAACGTCTCTCAAATAAAGGCGTAACTTCACTCGGCAAACATGAAGAGACAGCCCAAAACAGCCAGTATAGGATACTAATATTCCCCACAAAGCACGACTGATTCCTTATTTAGGGTTTCAACTGGAACAAAAAAATTCCTCACATTCATATGTGGTTGATTCCCCCCCACCAAAAAAAAAAAAAAAAAAAAAAAAAATCCCTATTTTTGTACATCATGTATTAAAGGCTTCCCTTTAGCATTTCCATTTTGTAATCTTTTCTCCCCCAAGAGGGGCTTGGTCACGCTGGTATCACATACTGGGTCTGCGTATACATACATAGTTTGAAAAATAGTATCAAGCAATCTAGTCCATTATTTGAGCATTTTTGTCCTGCATCTTCCCCCTTTTTGCTTTTTTCTACAGACTTTCTACTGTATCACATGGATTCAGATAGCAAGTTTCCCTGCTGAAATGACTGCTGCTCACTCCCTGCTACCTGAACCTGACAAGTTAGATAGAAAAAGGCAAACCAGGCAGGCTCCAGAATATTTCAGTTACTTGTTTGTGAATTACTGGGACCGGGGAAGTAAAACGTGGAAGGGGGGGAAAAAAAAAAGTAATGACATATTTGCCTGAGATTTTTTTGAAAGCAATTTGATAATGCAGAAGTCCAATCTTGCAGTATACAGATTGTCTGCCATGCACATTTGTGTGTCTTTGTAATTGTACGGAAATGCTACTATTACTTTTAAAAACCCATAAACATTCCGTTTTCCATTAAAATGATTCCTCCATTATGTTTTCTTAAATTCAAACTAAATATAGACTAGTCATAAGGATTCACTCACTTGTGCCACTGAGGTGACTTTATAAAACATACCCTGTTGTGGCACTTGACTCTTTAAAGAGTTTCACATTTTTTATTTAATAGACAAAAGAATTTTAATTAAAAATGTATTTCAAATACCATACCTGAAAGTCCCTTTACTCATTTTACATTGTACTCTTGAGTCCCTCTGAGGGTACATCGGTGTTTAAATAGGAGACACATGCAGAATACATGGATTAAATGGGGATTTGGTAATTCAGTAAATCTCAGCATTAGGGAGAAATTTGTGCGATAGGAGAGTAAAACCGACAACTTCAAATGAGGTGTAAAAATGAGGTCTTAACTATCCAGTTACTACAGATCCCAAATGATCCGCACAGCGATAGAGCTGTTGGGGTTTTTTTGCTATGTGCTGCGTTAAGCAGTTGGCATCTTTTCATCCGTCCTTGAGGAGGTGCTTATATTTCAATAGCAGATTAAGTCATTTCTGTGAATCATTGCAGGTTTTTTGTGGTGGTTTTTTTTTTTTTTTAGTGCTTTAGGATCCTTTGGGATAAGAAGCTCTATTATAAAGGCGTATTACTGCTTCTAGTAAAGGAATGGGTTGTTTTGCATTTGAAGCAAAACCTTAATTGATGCACTGCTGACTTCTTCTACAAACTTCAATAGTTTATGAATTTTATGCACACAGCAGTAATTCTTATTAGCAACTGGTTGGTAATCTATATCCAGGCTTTAGGTTTAGCTGTGAGGTATATTTTTTTAAAAAATCCAAATAACAACACTTCTAAAGATTAATTTAATTAATTAAATTAATTAATTTCTCGCAAAGATGCAGAGTACACAGAAGAAATATGTTTCGTAAGCAAGCGTACTGTAAAAAATAATGCTAGTTTGACACTTCTTGCTACTAAAGATTTGCATTAAAGGCGCATTAAGGGTGGTCGGCGCTCTAGGCTTTTCTTTATTTGTCCAAAGACGCTTGGTTTGCATTTTCCCCCGTGCTTTTTATTAATTACCGAGTAAATTCCGATGACTTGCTTCCCAAGAGCCCGTATGCCCTTGCAGTGAAGTCCGAGCTAGCACACCCAGCACGACAGCCACGGTGCCTGTCCTCTGAAAAGGGCTCTGGAAAAGCCTTTTGGGTGCCACAAAAACCGGGTTTAGCCCCGCTAGCAGCCGGTTTTGTGAGCCAGCAGAAGTCCCAGCCTGCTTCCAGTCCTGCTACCTCACCTGTAACGCAGGAATGGCGGACCTTTCCCCTCCCGGATGGTAAATGGAGATAAAAGGGACGACTTTCTAGCAAAAGGATGAAGTCTAATATGAAGCAGTAGGACTTAATTAAGAGAATCGAGCAAAAAGGTCGCGAGGGGCAGCCATTTCAGTCCAAGCACAGGAAATCCGCTCAAATACTGCAAACCTGGGTGAGGGGAAAAGTAGCATTTCTGTGGGTAACGTGAGGCTTTTTGCTGTTTTTGCGTGCAGGCATCATGGTGAGTAAGGAGCCCGGCAAATGCTTACTCACCACCTCGGAAAGCGAAGTTGAGCCAGCGGCTTCGCTCGCTTTGGAGATGAAATACGCGCTGGATCCCAACCGGCAGATTAAGAAACGGAACAAAGCCCTCCAGGTGAGATTTAAGGATATCTGCGAGTCCCAGAACGAGCAGAGGGACAAACAGCTGTCTGCTCCCCAGGATCCCGACAAGAGAGAAGCCAAGCCCGTCTCCTACAAAACGGCTTACCGCAAGTACATGACAGTGCCTGCCCGCAGGTCGATACCCAACGTCACCAAGAGCACCGGAGTTCAGACTTCACCCGATCTTAAGAAGTGTTACCAGACTTTCCCTCTGGACCGGAAAAAAGGGAATATTCTTAAAAGCGCCTCGACCGTCGACACCTTCAAGGGTCAGAACAACGGGTTTCTAATAGACGTTAAGGACAAAGAGGGCGGAAGCTCGGGGGAGGCCGTCCAGTGGAGCAAGAAGGCCGGCAGCCTGCAGACGGCGGAGTTCATTTCCCACATCAGCGAGCGCGCCAGCGCGGGGCCTCGCGACAACGGGGCCGAGGCCTGGAAAAGCAGCGATTTGCACAGCTCTCCCAGAGAGC